CTTAAATCCATGAAAAATGATGACAAAAAAGATACTTTAAATGATGGCAAATATTTGGAAACAATCAATCTCAAACCTTTGAATTTCTTCTTGTCCTGTTACTTATTTTCTTATCTTCTTATCTTGTCCTGATTCTTATTTGTAGTCATATTATAAACATTTCTCAGAGAATACTTCCCTTGGAGCCGGAGTACCAACTGACATTTTCCTTATTGATCCCTGTAATTGCGACGTGTCTATCGAGACCGAAGCTCATACATCAGCTTCTGGAGGCGGACACACCGGCGACACAAACGAACATTTTCTGGCCCACTTTGGTAGAGACTGTACCCACCCACCCACCCCAGTTATCCGACACTAGCACAATGGTGACAGCGAAGGGCTGTGTTTCCTGTTCAGTCAGTGAACAGCTCCCTGCCAGCGCAGTTCCCCTTCGTGTCTTTACCCACTCTGTGGAGAGTGTCACCATGTGTAATGTGGCAGGAAAGCACTGTGTCAACATTAGGGTGTAAGAGCTCACACGCATCACAGCCGCAGGTAACAAGGAGGAGAGTCAGTGTGTGCGTCTGTGTGCGTTTGGTTGTGTTTATATGCAATTGCTGATTTCTGCAGTGTCTCCTGTGTAGCCCCTGTTGCCTGCATACGTTAATAATGCATAATAATCCACCTCGTGGGTGGATGTGGCTCATTTACATGCATAGTAATTTGCATATGAAGCTGCACTTTCTAAAGTTTAGCAACAGTGCTGTTTAGCCTTTGTTTACCCAAATTGACAAAACAAAAACACAAGATATTTTTCCTTTCTGAATTAAATCGGCTCAGTCTTTGCTGTGGTCTGTGGCTTATGACCCTAACCTCATTTATGAAGCAGCCAACAGGATCCGTTTTACAGCCTTCCTAACTCAGTATTCTCTGTCTAATTATGTAATGGGATCAAACTGTGGCTCGGGGTATAATAGAATATATTACAGTAGAGTCTGAAACTGCACTTCCTTCAGGACTTCTGCTCTGAGCCTTGCTGCTCTGACCCCTCTGTTAAAATGCCGACGCTATAGAGTTTTTTTCCTAGAGGGATATGTGAAGCAATTTGTTCATAATCACTATAAACTGTAGTTTAGCGATTCCCTCTGGCTTGATAAATAGCTTAATATACCTTCTGAAAAACAATTTCAAGCGTGCATGTTTTTTTTTATGATTTTATCGACCTGCTTATGCCGTGGATGTCGGAGAGAGCTGTTGCTCTCTGGAGGTGTCGGCCGGCATTAACGCTTACGGTGTGCATATGAAAAAAGTGAGTACATCCAATATAAATTGTTGGCTTTATTGACATATTTACATAGGGAAACACTGGATCCTCATTGAAACAAAGCCTACAGACAAAGCTGACACACTTAAAGATAAATGTGAGGAAGAAGATAACTTTTTCAATGTTTTATTCCACAAAGTTGTAAATGGGGGTAATATTATACTGTGAGATATTAAGTGTACCCTTGGCCTCAGAAGCTGGTACTGCAACCCGTTAGCAGTAATAACTTCTTGTAAATGTTTTGCATAACAGTCTAGCAATTTCTGACATTGACTGACTACTTCACCGTGCAAGTTCACTCAGCAGCAGCATCTTTGTGGGTTTTCTTATATGTAAAGCCTGCTTTAAATCGAGCCTCTATAACATTTCAGTGGAATTCAAACCAGGGCTTGATTATGCTGTTGAAAGGGTCACTTCTGGTTCAAGCTACCTTCAGATGGCCTAACATTATCTCCAAGTACTCTTTATAAGATGCAGAATTTAAAGTTGAATTAATGGCGTCTTGTTCCCCAGCTTCTAAGGCTGAAAATGGAACCCAAACAGGTCTACGGTTATTGTGGTCAAACTGCTCTAACTTGATTTCTATGTTATTCCAAACACTTTGCTCTGTCTGTTCATTGGCAAACTGAGTTTTTCTCGAATGTGGTTTTTGGCATCAAAGGCACTTTCTTGCAAAGCCGCCCATCCATCCATTCATCCATTCATCCATTCGCTTCCGCTCATCCTTTCCAGGGTCGCGGGGGGTGCTGGAGCATATCCCAGCTGTCATAGGGCGAGAGGCGGGGTACACCCTGGACAGGTCGCCAGTCTGTCGCAGGGCTAACACACAGAGACACAGACAACCATTCGCACTCACATTCACTCACAGATTCACACCTATGGGCAATTTAGATTGACCAATTAACCTATCCCCGCAAAGCTGCCCATTCAAGTTTAATTTGTTGAATCTGATTATAGACACTGACTGTAACCTGGACTATTCTTTAACACCAACAAATGCAAGAGTTACCCGCAGATCCAGTGATAAAGGCTCGAGGTCACAATTGGCAGGGCCAGCAGTTCTGTACAGATGTTATTATTCCCTCAAAATCGACGTTATTTGCAGAGAGCTTTTTTTGGAGGTCTTTTTGAATTCTTTGACAGAGTCATGGACATCCACCTTTTTTGGAGGCCTGAGAAGGCCCTTTAGTACTTGGCATTGTGAGACCACACACTTAAACAGCACAGCGATTACTAGGCCTTAAACCAGGTGTAGATAGCCTCCATTTGTCATTATGTAAAGAGATTGTAATCCTTGGTAGCCCTGAAACTTCAATGGTTTAAAAATGTATTTAAATTTTTGATGAAAGTACTTTCGTGCTTTTCCTTGAGTACCTAACCTTTATGTAAAGTAGCTTTTCAACAAAAATCAGCTGCTGGCTTGCAGGTATGTCAGTAAAGCCGTTCACACGTCCATGTGAGGACATATGGTCTCAGGAGGATATGAGAGATTTCTCTTTTTGCTTTCAAATTGCATTGCTCATGTGCAACTTCCATACAGGGAGTGCAGAATTATTAGGCAAGTTGTATTTTTGAGGAATAATTTTATTATTGAACAACAACCATGTTCT